CCCCAAAACCCCAAAACCCCAAAACCCCAAAACCCCTTTGTAGGGGGTTAAGATAGAATAAAGGTCAAAATATTCTGGTTTATAGAGTTTTAGTTCGATTTTGTTCACTCTCTTCTCTGTGTGTGTTTGGAGGTCTAGGGTGGCTCTTTGAGGTTTATAGGCCTTCTCTATGGAGTTAGGAGGGCTCATACCTCATGAATTGTGTTGTATGGAGTAATAATCCTTTTTTCAATCATGAATGTTTTTGGAAAAATAAGCGTCATTTTTATTTTGAAAATAGCATCTTTTATGCATATTAGTTGGTTTGACATTTCTTGTGGATCGACTATAAACTAACAATATGACTCTTACTTCTTTCTAACTTTATTCTTTGGCGTTTTAGCTGAGTTCTTCCTTCTAACTCGTCTTTTTAAGGGCATGTTCAGGACTCAATTGTTAAGAGAGACTACATTAACTGGATTGACCTGAATATTCAAACACTCACGCTTCCCTCGATCCTTTGCAAATGAACTAACAAACGAGGGTTCTCAGGAATTGATCACCTTAGCATACCCATTACTTGGGGCATGCTCTTCATGGTCTCCCTCTGGAGATATTTTACGTGTCTCCTGGCTGCTACGCATGAAGCCGAGACCTACAACTGATCATCAAAAACTACCTAAAGAGTGCATGAAGTGCTGCATCGTTGTAATATCTTGCATTGACTCAGAGATTAACCTATTTATTGTACTCACAAATGTCCATTTTGAATCCAGACTTATTTATGCTTCACTCTAGTCTTGCCACCAGAAGAATTATAGCACCTAAATTGACAGATTAGAAAGAGAAAATACCGGAATTTGACAAACAAATGAGGCTATAAAGTGCTTTAACATAGCTTACGAGGAAAAATCTAGCTTTAAGAGCTCTGATTCTATGCTAATTTTAGGCATTTACTATCTAAGCAAGGCCTAAAGAATCGACTTTCATCTTTCGCAAATAATTTACTTGCGGAATGGAGAAGATGGTGATAAAGTTAGTCTTAATATCATAAAATGAATCTAGAATTTATACTTCACAAGGTAAATTGTTGACATACTTCCTTCTCCCAGAGAATGATTTGACTCTCGATAAATCTTTATTTTCGTTCTCAGAGATTTTGTAATAATTATCATGATCTTCTGTAAGAACACTTTGGTCTTTGGAATTATGGTTGCCTAAAATATTACTCTTCCATAAACTACCAGGCTTAGGGTGGAACATGGAGTCAAATTTGATATCTTCCATTGGGGTATACTCAATCATGTTCATTCTTGTAGTTTGATTTGAGGATTCGTAGCATCTTCTTCCTTCATGGCCATCACCAGCTTCCTGATCTAGGGTCAGAGAACAAGCAGAATTATTATTTATCCATGCTGGTCTGTATATTTTTGATATTATTTCCTTCTGCCTGGACTTGAGTGCTGAAATAACTAGGCTCTCTTTGCTGAATCTGACTGATATTAATCTTAAACTTATTCCTCCGCTTCTTTAGCTTCTTCCTACGAGGTTTTATACCTAAAGAAATTGGGAAGGTTTCTTACTATTCGGTAACAGCAGTAATTTGCTCTTCAAAGAAAGATTCTCTAATGGATGACCACAAGCTTGTGAATCAAGCATTCCTTTATTCTGTTTCGGGTTTAAAGTTTGATAAGAATTTTCCAGTCGCTCTTTTCTAATATTCCTCGAAGCAGAAGAAAACTCTGAAAGAGCAGTCTCAACAGGATTCTGACCCACTTCGCTAAGTTTCTCCTGAGGGTTTGAAGCAGGCAAGTCTGGATTGTAATCCAAGGCCTTTTTAGTATAAATTCTTTTACAAATAACTCCTGATTTTTGCTTTAAATCATCAGCTACTCTCCGTTTCCTGCGATTGCTATCTATGCCTATATTCTAAAGTGTCTAGATTACTTCTTCTTGTTGATTAAAGTAAGACTACATGTAGGATGACTGGAAGAGTCATTTACAGAAACATTACAGCCCTTCTTAAAGGAGCTTTGGTAATTCACATTAGAATGATACCCAATTCCTTCCTTTAATGCGCCCACTGATTTCTTCATGCTTGTTGCTTCAATATTTAATGTATAAAATGGGGTTTTGGGGTTTTGGGGTTTTGGGG